ACCCTCTTGCTCATTTTCAAATATCCTACTGGCTCTACGCACTTGTAGTACAAGGAACTATTTTCTCAAGTTTTACTTGATTAGAAAAGTAAAAAGAGAATATATTTATTATTTGTCTTTACCAAAGCATTATGTATTTGATAGTTTGTTTAATTAAAAAAACTAATATTTATTTTATAAATTCAAAGTTAATTAATTTTAAAATAATTGGAAGCAGTTTAATTTAGTCAAATGTGCCCTAAAGAAGCTAAACAATCACACTTATATTACTTGTTAAATATTGCCTAATTGATAGGCTAATCATAAATAATGAACATAAAACATCACAGGTGTGACTATTGTTTTATTGTTCTTCAGTGGATGAATCAAGCTTTTTATTTTCATAAAAGACTGTTAAGTGTTAATGGTGAAACACTCACATCTCTGAGCAGCTCAGTGAGGCATTTTTGTCCAGTTGTAACCAATGAATGCATAAATCTACCCTGTTAAATGTTCTCCTTGTTTTCATCACTCTCCAGGTCTGTCCTCCACTACTGCCTGGAGAATTACAGATCATTTTTAGAAGTGAGGCTTGCAGGCAATTGCATGGAATAAACAGCAGTTCATAAATGTCATATTAACTATTTATATGAATAATCAGAGTCTGCCATGTGAACAGTGGCAAGTGGAATAAATAAGACGGAAAACATTACAACATGACAGCATGATGTACAATAGACATTATCACTGTTGGTGATAATGACCCTCAGATGTTTGGTGGAATGCTGTGCATTTAATGAGGTCTTGGTATGCAGAGGCTTCTGTAACACAACTTTTGGAAGTGACTGCATTCACTTGTGTCATGCTGACACAAGAGTATTGCTTATAAAAATAATCAAAGAAAAATTTCAGGTCAGCTCGACCGACAATTTTTGTGGCATAATGTTGGTTACCAGAAGAAATCAATTTGACTCATCCTTTATTTCTTTTAAAAAGCAAAAATCAAGGTTGCAGTGAGGCACTTACAATGGAAGTTAATAGGGCAGATTTTTACAGGCTTTAAAAATAGAAATGTGTGGAAATTAGTCGAAATTTTATTACATGATTTTTTCAACTGTATTATTTGAGATTATTTTTACATTCAATTTAAAGTTAAGGCTGCTAAGTTGTAAAAGTGTTTTTAATTTAAGTAACCATACTTAATATTTTTCCTTGTGATTTCTAAATTG